CAGCTGCACAAGCAAACACAGCAGATAACACAGTTGTACCAGCAGACACAGCAGATAACACAGCTGTACCAGCAGACACAGCAGGTAACACAGTTGTGCCAGCAGACACAGCAGATAACACAGCTGCACCAGCAAACACAGCAGATAACACAGTTGTACCAGCAGACACAGCAGATAACACAGCTGTACCAGCAGACACAGCAGATAACACAGCTGTACAGCAGACACAACAGATAACACAGCTGTACCAGCAGACACAGCATATAACACAGCTGTACCAGCAGACACAGCAGATAACACAGCTGTACAACAGACATAGCAGATAACACAGCTGTACAGCAGACACAACAGATAACACAGCTGTACCAGTAGACACAGCAGATAACACAGCTGTACCAGCAGACACAGCAGATAACACAGTTGTACCAGCAGACACAGCAGATAACACAGCTGTACCAGCAGACACAGCAGATAACACAGCTGTACCAGCAGACACAGCATATAACACAGTTGTACCAGCAGACACAGCAGATAACACAGCTGTACCAGCAGACACAGCAGATAACACAGTTGTACCAGCAGACACAGCAGATAACACAGTTGTACCAGCAGACACAGCAGATAACACAGTTGTACCAGCAGACACAGCAGATAACACAGCTGTACCAGCAGACACAGCAGATAACACAGTTGTACCAGCAGACACAGCAGATAACACAGCTGTACCAGCAGACACAGCAGATAACACAGCTGTACAGCAGACACAGCAGATAACACAGTTGTACAGCAGACACAGCAGATAACACAGCTGTACAGCAGACACAGCAGATAACACAGCTGTACCAGCAGACAAAGCAGATAACACACCTTGTACAGCAGACACAGCAGATAACACAGCTGTACAGCAGACACAGCAGATAACACAGCTGTACAGCAGACACAGCAGATAACACACCTGTACAGCAGACACAGCAGATAACACACCTGTACAGCAGACACAGCAGATAACACAGCTGTACAGCAGACACAGCAGATAACACAGCTGTACAGCAGACACAGCAGATAACACACCTGTACAGCAGACACAGCAGATAACACACCTGTACAGCAGACACAGCAGATAACACAGCTGTACCAGCAGACACAACAGATAACACAGCTGTACAGCAGACACAGCAGATAACACAGCTGTACCAGCAGACACAGCAGATAACACAGCTGTACAGCAGACACAACAGATAACACACCTGTACAGCAGACACAACAGATAACACAGTTGTACCAGCAGACACAACAGATAACACACCTGTACAGCAGACACAGCAGAAAACACAGTTGTACCAGCAGATACAACAGATAACACAGCTGTACAGCAGACACAGCAGATAACACAGTTGTACCAGCAGACACAGCAGATAACACAGCTGTACAGCAGACACAGCAGATAACACACCTGTACAGCAGACACAGCAGATAAAACTGTATCAGTTGCTGGACGAACCATCCGTATGTTTTTAGAAACCTTCATTAGGCTCCTGTGATTTACCTGTGACCAGGTTCGAGTGCTCTTCCTCTCGGGGCGCGGCCTGAGGTCAGGTTTTCCTGCTGTCTGCCTGGTCAACCAGGCTATTTGTGGTAAGGGTCCGCAGGCTCGCATAGCCATAACAATCCGGAACTTGTAGAACGAAGCTGTTCAGGCTCTTGAAAACTTCTGTTTTCGTTCCAGCAATATTTCTGAAAACGCTGATAATAGGCTCGTCTCGTGGTCCATGGGTATTGACATAGTGTTCTCTAATTGTACCCACGGCTTCCCTGCTTTTCACTGGGTTTATTCTACATCTTCCATATCGTTCACTTCAGTAAGGTGTTATAGCAATGTGCAGGTTAGGGACCAGGCCCTCAAGGATCTTTCTTTTATATATTAATTTTACCAGATATCTTTCGCTTCACCGTTCCAGAGAGAATAATCGAAATGCTTTGAGGTGTTCCATACAGTCTTAGATTTTACTGGTTCTATTCGGGCAGTATACGACCTCTGTACAATTCCCAGCTCTTCTATCTCTCTCCTGCCTTGAGCTTTTCAAATCACCTGTTGTCATGAACAGTGCTCTTGCGCTACCGTCCACAGGATGGATATGGGGTGCACAATAAACTAGCCGCTTCAGCGGCAAACTCTAATTTCCTGCCTTGAAAGGTGCTATGAGAACGGAGCAATATTCTGGGCATGATTTGAAAAGTACACACACTGGCGTGCTTCTCTTTTGAAAGTCCTTTCAGTCTACAGATACATAAACAAAGCCTATCTCCATACAGTACTTAGTTTCACTTCTACACGGCAGTTATTCTTACACAGCTTCTATTTCCAGCCTATGTAGTTTTCAAATACACTTTTTCATGAATGTGGCCCGTCACAATGGTATCACATCAGGTTACCTAAAATTATTTTCTCCCTGAAAGTGTACGGAGCATATCGAGAGATTAGTCCAACTTTCTCTTTGAAGTCCATCCACGCACAGATCATACACAGCATCTTCATCAGTAGACAGAGATATTTTAACAATCTTACAGCAGAAGGAGCTATCAATACACGTTTCAGCTAGAAGTGACCACCCAACAACCTTCACAGCAACACAAGACCATTATTCAACCATCAAAGCCATCAGAGCAGACAGAAGACCATATTTAATCTTCACGGCAGAGAGAAGACCATCCAACAACCTTCACAGCAGACAGAAGTCCATCCAACAACCTTCACAGCAGACAGAAGTCCATCCAACAACCTTCACAGCAGACAGAAGACCATCCAACAACAGTCACAGCAGACAGAAGACCATCCAACAACTGTCACAGCAGACAGAAGACCATCCAACAACCGTTACAGCAGACAGAAGATCATCAAACACCGTCACAGCAGACAGAAGACCATCAAACACCGTTACAGCAGACAGAAGACCATCCAACAACCTTCACAGCAAACACAAGACCATCAAACACCGTCACATCAGACAGAAAACCATCCAACAACCGTCACAGCAGACAGAAGACCATCCAACAACCATTACAACAGACAGAAGACCATCCAACAACCGTTACAGCAGACAGAAGACCATCAAACACCGCTACAGCAGACAGAAGACCATCAAACACCGTTACAGCAGACAGAAGACCACCCAAACCTGTTACAGCAGACAGAAGACCATCAAACACCGCTACAGCAGACAGAAGACCATCAAACACCGTTACAGCAGACAGAAGACCATCCAACAACCATTACAACAGACAGAAGACCATCCAACAACCGTTACAGCAGACAGAAGACCATCAAACACCGTTACAGCAGACAGAAGACCATCAAACACCATTACAGCAGACAGAAGACCATCAAACACCATTACAGCAGACAATTGTGTAACTATAACGTAATTATAATAATTTTTCTCAGTCAAGCTTTGAATTCATTACAGTTCCAAAACATAAATTAATAAAGTCTTAAGTTACAGGTCCAAAACATCAATTAATAAAGTCTTAAGTTAAGTCCAAAACATCAATTATAAAGTCTTAAGTTACAGGTCCAAAACATCAATTAATAAAGTCTTAAGTTACAGTTCCAAAACATCAATTAATAAAGTCTTAAGTTACAGGTCCAAAACATCAGTTAATAAAGTATTAAGTTACAGGTCCAAAACATCAATTAATAAAGTCTTAAGTTACAGTTCCAAAACATCAATTAATAAAGTCTTAAGTTACAGGTCCAAAACATCAATTAATAAAGTCTTAAGTTACAGGTCCAAAACATCAATTAATAAAGTCTTAAGTTACAGTTCCAAAACATCAATTAATAAAGTCTTAAGTTACAGGTCCAAAACATCAGTTAATAAAGTATTAAGTTACAGGTCCAAAACATCAATTAATAAAGTCTTAAGTTACAGTCCAAAACATCAATTAATAAAGTCTTAAGTTACAGGTCCAAAACATCAATTAATAAAGTCTTAAGTTACAGGTCCAAAACATCAATTAATAAAGTCTTAAGTTACAGGTCCAAAATATCAATTAATAAAGTCTTAAAGTTACAGGTCCAAAACATCAATTAATAAAGTCTTAAGTTACAGGTCCAAAATATCAATTAATAAAGTCTTAAGTTACAGGTCCAAAACATCAATTAATAAAGTCTTAAGTTACAGTTCCAAAATATCAATTATTAAAGTCTTAAGTTACAGTTCCAAAATATCAATTAATAAAGTCTTAAGTTACAGTTCCAAAACATCAATTAATAAAGTCTTAAGTTACAGGTCCAAAACATCAATTAATAAAGTCTTAAGTTACAGTTCCAAAATATCAATTAATAAAGTCTTAAGTTACAGTTCCCAAACATCAATTAATAAAGTCTTAAGTTACAGTTCCAAAACATCAGTTAATAAAGTATTAAGTTACAGGTCCAAAACATCAGTTAATAAAGTCTTAAGTTACAGGTCCAAAACATCAGTTAATAAAGTCTTAAGTTACAGGTCCAAAACATCAATTAATAAAGTCTTAAGTTACAGTTCCAAAACATCAGTTAATAAAGTATTAAGTTACAGTTCCAAAACATCAATTAATAAAGTCTTAAGTTACAGTTCCAAAACATCAGTTAATAAAGTATTAAGTTACAGTTCCAAAACATCAATTAATAAAGTCTTAAGTTACAGTTCCAAAACATCAGTTAATAAAGTATTAAGTTACAGGTCCAAAACATCAATTAATAAAGTCTTAAGTTACAGGTCCAAAACACCAATTAATAAAGTCTTAAGTTACAGTTCCAAAACATCAATTAATAAAGTCTTAAGTTACAGTTCCAAAACATCAATTAATAAAGTATTAAGTTACAGGTCCAAAACATCATTAATAAAGTTTAAGTTACAGGTCCAAAACACCAATTAATAAAGTCTTAAGTTACAGGTCCAAAACATCAATTAATAAAGTCTTAAGTTACAGACAATATTTAGGATGAATAAAACACGATATAAAATTACATATTTACTTGTCATAAATAAACATATAAAGTAATTTTTTAATTGTAACTGCAAGTTATATTAGTGTCAGAATATTAGGGAAGGCCATATGTTTGACCGCAATACCCAGGAGCGGTGCCCGGGGCACACTGGGTACCCACCTGCCAGGAGCGGTGCCCGGGGCACACTGGGTACCCACCTGCCAGGAGCGGTGCCCGGGGCACACTGGGTACCCACCTGCCAGGAGCGGTGCCCGGGGCACACTGGGTACCCACCTGCCAGGAGCGGTGCCCGGGGCACACTGGGTACCCACCTGCACCAGTACCCACCACCACCTTCATCTCCAACAATTAAGAACTAGGTCAGCTTTTTACATACTAAATATGTCAGTAATCACTTGATATTCACACTTGCATGTCCTGTCACTAAACACCAGGACACCGGGCCAACACCAGGACACCGGGCCAACATTAGGACACCGGGCCAACACCAGGACACCGGGCCAACACCAGGACACCGGGCCAACACCTGTCTTAATGTTCCAGATGACTGTGTTTGTGAGTTGAGGAAAGAAGGCGGCACACACAACCTTGTCTATAATATATTCAAGGCTAAATATATATATATATATATATATATATATATATATATATATATAATATATATATATATATATATATATATATATATATATATATATATAATGTCGTGCCGAATAAGCAAAATTGCGATTCTGGCTTAAATAGCAACGCTCTTCTTTGCCGGATAAGGGCAAGCGAAAATTGTTACGCAATAATTTAGCAAAAATCATTCTGAACCTAACGAAAAAAAAATATTTCATTGTGTTTGTTTATTATTAAATTATTGTAAACATATCTAAAATATATTTAGTTGGATTAGGCTAAATTAAATTACGCTTGTTATGGTTAGGTAAGTTTTCTAAGGTTCTTTTGATACAAAATTATTAATTTTTACATTAAAAATAAAAAAAAAATATATCTTTAAATGTATAAGAGAAAATTTTAGAAAGGGCTTAATTACAAATGAGTTATTTCTAACTTACCAATTTTACCTATTCGGCACGACCTTTTTATATATATATAATATATATATATATATATATATATATATATATATATATATATATATATATATATATATATATATATATATGGAAAACGACACTGGTACTAAAAAAACAAGATTTAATCAAAAAAAAATTTGAGTCAGCTTTACTGTATCTGGCACTGTACTAAATCAGAAAAAAAATCTGTTATAATAACCAGAGCTTAACATATGCTAAACATTAAATAAATGTAATAAAAAAAAACAGAAGGAAACTAACTGGCGTGAATGGTCATTATTACAGAGTTCTGGCCACCTCAGTGGTACTGGATCAACTGGACAAAATGGTAGAGGATCACTCTGGCCACCTCAGTGGTACTGGATCAACTGGACAAAATAGTAGAGGACCATTCTGGCCACCTCAGTAGTACTGGATCAACTGGACAAAATGGGAGTTTCTTAATGGTCATTTGTTTTATTAAATTTGCTCAAGTATTAAAAGATGCAGATCTGCAGTTGACACAATAGAATTACAGCCATGACGGTTATATCTGTAGACTACCGGGATTATACCTGCTGAATTACAGACCTTTGTAGTCTACGAATATAACTGTCATACCTGTAAAGCTAAGTACCGTATTTTCCAGCATATAAAGCGCACGAGAATATAAGACATAGTACGATGTTTCCGAGCAGTTGTAACATATAGTAAACAACTGAACTGCTAAAGTGTAACACAAAGCCTACCCCTGACCTTGACCTTGACCATATAAGGCGCAGGCTGATTTTCCAACTTTTTGTGGGAAAAAAGCGCACCTTATATGCCGGAAAATATTGGTAAAACTAAGCATCGACCGTGGGTCTATATCTTAGACCATTAGGTTTCTACACTATTCAAGACAAACCTTCCATTTGTTTCTAGTTTTCTTATTATATTAATTTGATGTTTAGCATTTGCTAAGATCTGGCTCTTATAATTGATTTTCTCAGATTTTGTCCAGTGCCTGATGATAGAGTCAAGTTAACTCCGAAACTAGTCTTGAATAAATGATGTTTCAAGAGCAAGTGCTGGTTTTTATCTTATTTACAAGACTTTGCTTTCCTAAGTAATTCTCCTGTTGCTACTATATATATATATATATATTATATATATATAATATATATATATATATATATATATATATATATTAATATATATATATATACACGGAGGAGTACAAGGCCGCCAACATGGCCACCATCACCATCACAGCGAGGCTTTGACGAGTCCCTGAAGTCCGTGTTGATGCTGTTTTCGCCGCCGCCGTCACCACAGCCACCACGACTGCCACCATCACTACCACACCATCACTGCTCCACATCTTACTGCACGTCTCTTGTCTCTCTCACTACGTGTCAACTACACAACACTTGTAACCACAACAGTTGTCAATGTCTCCTTGGCTCGTCAGAGTATAAATTTATGTCTATTCTCTGAGGAATATAGCGGTCAAGGCAGGGTGAGTAAGGGGTAAATAACCATTCACCAAATGTTATTGCAAGCGGCTCGTGCAGTTGCAAAGTACGGTACTGTACACCTAGTGCCATGACCAATATCAAATGTCGCAACGTGTCAACGGAAAGCTATTCAACAACAATGTACTACCATAGTTGGCAACCACATAAGCTGGCTTCCGAGGCAAGAAATAAGGATATACTGGTAAAGAAGGCGTTATGTGGGATCGAAACAGGATCTTGCCGGTGATTATCCTTGTTCTACTCCACATGACGTCTTGTTTACGCTCACGGAAGTATGAAATCTGAGCTTGCATATACTGGTAGTGTGGTTACAGCAGTAGATGAAGAGAGAGGCGGGCTGCGTGGTGTGTAGAGGATGGGTCAGCGCTTGGGGGTAGGCAGGATGGGAGCGAGGTGTGGGTGTCGACGGCGGAGGTGTCGGTTCAGGTCTCCGCGTTGCACGAAGATTCTGACGCAGGCAGGACAGGTGAGCGCCGTACCGCGGTGGATCTTCAGGTGGCGCCGCAGGGAGTCCCGACACTGGAATGTCTTACCGCACTCGGCACACTCCTGACAGCGAAGACCACGCTGAAGCCTCCTACCCCGCACGGCTGCTACTGCTACTGCTGCAGGAGAAGAGTTGGTCAGTGTGGGAGCCAGCAAGCCAGAGTCAATGGGTGGGGTGTGCAGCAGCAGTAGTAGTAGTTGCAGCAGCAGCAGTAGTAGTAGTAGGTTAGTGTGGAAGAGACGAGCGTGCGTTAGTGCGGCAGCCAGCGGTGCTGTCAAGTAACACTTCTGATGCTCCAAGCCACCAATGCAAGTTTAAGGATCAAAACATTCACGGAACACAAACCCCGAGTAGAATTCCATACAAACTTTAGGTACCAATATAGACCGGACCACAATATACACAGCTGAGTTGACAGACACAAGCAAGGGGAATCATTATATTAGTGCAAGGAAAACAATGTGTAGATTTAAAAACTAGGAAAGGAGCATCAGAAGAAAAATGGAAAAACAGAAATACATGATGAAGAGGAGGAGGTGATTAAGCATAAAGCCGAACAGTGAACACCCCAGGGAAAACTTGCCACCACACACACACAGGACCAGAAGCTATGAAACGACCCCTGCAACCACAATTAGGTACATACACACGCGAGCACACACACACACACACACACAACAACTGTAGTGAAGCTAACAGAAATGTTTGCCAGAAAACTTGGTGTTAGTGTTGAAACAATGAACCTGACACTCTCCTCATAACAAAATTGTCTCAAACAATTACATTTCTCGTTGAATGTTGATAATAACAGAAATTTCTTTAATTTAAAAAAAAAATCAGTTTCCTCTGAGAGTTAGCAAGCCAGAAGCTATTTAAATCAAATAATTATAATAAAGAACACACACAAACACAAAAACTTATGATAACAGAAATGTTGAGGACGTGGTGGAGTGTTGACTAAACCCTCTAGTCATACAAAACTGGTAGAAAGACATTCTGGAAGTGGAAAACAGTCAATTCTTTAGATTAAAATTAAAAAATTCAATTGTTACTAGAGTTTAAGCAAGTAAACCTATGGTTATGCGATATCTTTTTTATTATTATTATTATTATTAATTCAAAGGGGAAGCGGGCTAAACCCAGGGATCTATACAACACCTGGAGAGAGAGGGGGGATAGAAGGTCCAAATTCTTGGCATTATGGGGGAAATGAGCACAATAAGTTGCCTAAATGAGACCTACAGTAATTGAAGAAACCTTCGGTTTGCGGTCTCTCTTTTCCCAAATGGGAGGGTAGGTCTGATTCCTTGAATCAAGAGCCCTTCACCAGCTTCAAGGACCCACCCGCCTTGATAATTTTTCTGTAAATCTGTTATATTTAAACTGTCTTTTTTATTATTAATTTATCTATTAATTTGCTGAATTTTGACATTTTTTTCTATGTGAGATTAAGCATTTTTTAATATGAATGTTTTCATTCTCACTGAGAAAAATCATATTGTTTGTTTGTATCTGGAAGCAGAGTTGAGAGCAGAGTCAGGCGGACACTGTTTATGTTCACGTTCCTTAATGCTGAGTCTGGATCTTGTGTTGAAGTGCTCAGATAACTGAGTCTCGCTTGCCTACACCTGCTCACTTTCATTATACTTGGTTGTTACAATAATTGTCCTGTTGCGTTATTATCATGACATTCAGGTGATCCGAGAACACTTGTGTGTACAGACTCCAGAATCCAGATATAATTGCTAATGTTGTTTCCATAGAAAAGGCCACCGGAGGGGTAAAGGTCTCCACTCAAATTATTAATATTATATTCTTAGGAAGCAGTGATCCTGTGTGATACAGCGCCTCTCCACTCGTATATGGTGAATAAAACAAAAGAACATCAGCTAGGGATCAAACTCTGCGTCTCGGAGCAAGAATTCAGCACCACAGTTTTCACTCAGAGGTTTACTAACCAATCCTCCACTGATGTTCTTTTGTTTTCTTCACGTAAATATAACAGTAACAAAACTTTTACTGTGAGAAGTATTCTCCAGTCTCCAGTTCGTGTCGTGACATGAGGAATTAAACATGTTAAATACTAGAACTCTTACTCAGCATACCAGGATTATAGTTGTTTTGAACATAATCACTGTTTATGATTCAGTAATGGGATGAGCAGCAGAAGTTTGTGGCCATAGGAGAGTGGGAGGAAGAGTGATGGGTGGAAAGATGATGGAAAGAGGGGTGTATGCTAGAAAAAGGTAGCATATGAGTTTTTTTTTTTATGAAAACATGATATACGGAAGGCAGAGTGTATGGAGAGAGAAAAAAAAAGGTGAGTTTGTATAAGATTTTGCTGAGGATAAGAAACAGTTTTGGAGAGGTTAATACAGCGAGGAAGACTCTGGGGAGAAAAGGAACTGGCTCTTTGAAACAAGAGAGTTCAGATATTAGATGAACAACGCCAAATATTCTCTTTGAAGTTGTTAAATTTTAATGATAAACAAGGAGGTAACTTCATGCACTAGGCAGGAGGGAACAGCATCTGGTGGAAGGAAGAAAAAGCCAGAGACGTGAGGCAGTGGGTAAAATGAAAGGTGTGTGTGTGTTAGTTACCATTTTGTCCTAGGCACATGTCGATTTGACACTAGGCCTGTTGTGTGTGTGTGTGTGTGTGTGTGTGTGTGT